GGGCTACACCACTCATGAAAATATCTCTCCCCCCCCCCCCCCGTCATTCAATGAGACCAACATGACATTTCACTCAACACATGGAATATCCTCTAAATAGTCATTATTACAAACATGCTTCAGGGACAGCAACAGGTCTTAGGATATTATTATTCTTAGAGTTTCTCAGATTCGTCATTGACTGGTCACTGTAGAAGTAATGAAAGGAAGTAAATATTTTGTTCTTAAATTGAATACTTATCACAAATGAAGAGGACATGATCCCCACCTTCATATCAACCCAGTCACAATTTGTATGATGAGCTTGAATATTTCACTGCCGTACACCATACATGTCTTAGTAGAGTTTACATCAAAACAAAAACTGACCATTATTATTTGTGATCAGTATCGATCCAAAGATCAGTGGTCAACATTTTGTTGACAAGATTATATTATTTATCACTTATCACATATCTACCAAATGAGATTACAATTCTAACGACCGCGTTACACAACATGTCCTAGAGGCGTACCAGTGATGTATTGTCAGTCGGTATTATGCTTATCAACTGTTTATGTTCTTGGGTCAGCATGTAATAGAAGTAACCTAATCTGTGATTGTGTGAAGTTTGTATCAGATCGTCCTTCAAACTGGCGGTGTATTTCACAAGTTTATAACCGGCAAAAACTCGCAGTCACGTTGACCAAAACAGGAGTCTAATCAGTGATGTAATTGAATGCACTTGGTGCTGATCCTGGGGTTGGTGTCCAATGTGTTCTAATGAACGTGTATACTTAACCAGACAATATGCACGAAATAAAATAATAACAACAAACTCACCCCCTCCACTTCCCCAGCGTCCATGCTGCTACTTCCCTCGAAATACGCTACAACGGGGTAGACGGTTCATTCACAAATACAGGTGCCCCGCCTTCGCTAGGGCTTGGGTACACAGCTTTCGGTGTTTATCCAGCTCAAAACTATCTTCCTCATGACTATGTAGACATACGTCGCCGGCGCGTCGTCTGCTAGAGGAGGCATTAGGTCAAGTGTGATCGCCCGGGGAGAAACACCGTGAACCGACTTTGTAGGGGTCTGATTGATGCGAATCACCGATACTAGCCATACGGTACAAACTAATCATCCCACTTAACTATGACTAAAGGATCAGCTGTTTAGCAATAAGCGCTTGGGTGGCCTAATAAGGATATCACTGTAGGCAGTGTACCATGACATGTCTTTTGCACGCTCTCTATTCGGTATGCCCGATTCATTACGGAAAGCAATAATCTTAGATTAGTATTTAGATGTCTTAACACACGATGTGAATTATAATGGTATTTCATGGCGATGTTTTCATCGATACATAAAACGACGTGGGTCGTGACAAATGGGGCATAATGAAGCCATTATTAATTCTCAAGCTCCGAAATTTTCAATTTATTTTACCATGCTGTTTCAATCCATATTATTCCCATCAGAATATAATCTAATAAAACGTACCCCCAAGGTTGTATTCAACTTAAAAGCTCCGAATGTTTTATGTATTGAAATATTTTAGTATTTGATGACAGTGGCCCAGTGCCCGAATGTGCCAGACTCGATGGCTCCACGTACCAGAGGTTAAGGGTCATATGTGAAGTTTATGAATGATCGGCACTTTAATATCTCCGTGATAGTGATAATCCAACTGTTCACGCTTGGCAAAGTGCCTTCAGTTCTTCCCGTTTTGGCGATCATCGAAGTTCAACTCTTGACAAGCAGACAAATGAAATCACTCATCCGTGAGGTTTGAGAAGTACAGATTTTATTATTATTAACAGTCCCGCGGAGTGAGTATCTTGATCGCGATGGTGAGTATCATAAACCATTCTTCCGATCGAAATTACCTGATAACACATGTCATTATTATAGGACTTGGTTGAAAGGCGTGTATAATAATAACATATAATTTAAAATCGTAAGTAACATGTACAGTGACACTAAGAATTATTTAGTTATATTATTAGTTGTACATGAGTAGTTGGAAACACTTACAAGTGGCAGCACCATTGTCGCAGTATATACTCAAACTGATATTTTAGTGACATTGTTATCCCATAGGCACTGCCAGAAATCATACAGCGTAGAATTCTTTTAATTGTTAATGCTTAATCGGCTATTAAGAATAGCTACGGATGACGGTTTTAACCGTGTGTGTTATGATACTAGTATATAATCACTGTAGTGTATGCATATGTGATCGCGGGAACTTTGCTCCAAGATCTAAACTGGATCCAAGATTCTCACTTTCAATATCTTAATCACGTACTGGCATAACTCCAGGTCCAGAAGGATAATCGTGTAAATGAAATGAAACCTTAAACATAATTTTATTAAAATTCAACAGACGCCAAACACTCACCACGGGAGGTGGAGATGGGTTTTGGTCCGTGTGGAATTGTGGTCACGTCTAGATGCATGATGCAGTACAAGCACGTGCCAGTTTCTGACATGCGCACATGCACTCGACTGGTGAGGACAGACTTCATTGGAAGTAAGGAATCAAAGGGAGATAGTAAGTTGGACACGGTCTGGTGTAGTCTGTCTAACAGTCCCTGAACCATATTATTTTCCCTTTCGCCCAACCCTGAATGTAACGCTATAGCCTAAAAAGAAGCAAGTCTAGATTTTACCCATCTCATTGGGGATCCTTTTCAATTTAAATGTAGTTGCTTGTTTCTATCAAATAATATATTTTCAGAGACTAAGCGTTAGTCTAGGCCTGGTGATACAGGGTAGGTGAGGTGAGGTGAAATGGGGTTTAACGTCGCGTCCAAGATTATTGCACTTACATGGCGACGTGTATGTGTGGCTGCTTGTAGTCCAGACTGATGCCGATTTATAGTGCTAGCTCACTTAGATACCATGCCGCAGTTTAACATGAATACCCCACTCAGACACATGCACAGTATACTGACTCCGAGCCGACCAGTCCTTGTTTTAGCCCCTTAATGTCGAGCGCCAGACAGTGTAACAACAAGTACCATCTTTTAACGTCTTTTGGTATGACGCGGCCGGGGATCGAACCCCGGAACTTCCGCTCTCCGGGCGGACGCTCTACCACTAGACCACGGAGGCGGTCGGATACAGGGTAGGAGTCAACCGCGTATCATGTGACAAATTGCGACAGTGTTGAATGTAATTAGGGTAATCGTATTTCTAGCCTGATCGTTATGTTAATGATAAAACTTGTTCCACAGACGTGTGTTGGGTCTGTCATACATACCCCGAAATAAATATATCAAGTGAAGCCCCATGCAAGTATATAATAGTTGGTAAGTCTAGATTATACAGTTTCTGAAAATGAAGAGAGTATCTTGGCTCCTTTAGTAAGATAATTGAACCACGTTGTTTTTTGTCAAATATTTCTTTTCAGCGAGTATATGTTAGTCTTATGTGTGTTCCGTGGTGATATAAAAGTCAGTAGTGCAACTGACCCGTGAATATCCGAATAGATAATAGGTCTTCAGCAATCCATGCTTGACGCGAAAGAGGCGACTATACTTGCTGACTTGGTTGAGGCATGTCATCGTATGCCAGTTGCGAGGATCGATGCTCATGATGTCAATCACTGAATTGTCTGTTCCAGACTCGATTATTTCCAGACCGTCGTCATATATGTGGAATATTGCTGAGTGTGGCGTTAAAAAACCCAACAACAACCAAAAAAAACAATAAAAACTGCAACTTGTTCCTCCTTTAAAAGCTACTCACTCTGGAAGTGATGGGTATAACCTGTGCATGGTGAAACACTAAATTTAGTACTGAGGTTTGCTTTGATTTTTTCCATGCTGTCGCTTAGGGCTGGTACGAGTCCGAATGTATTACCCGGGTACCCGACCCCCTATTACCCGACCCTACCCGGAAACCCACAGAAGGGTTCAAGTTGTGGGTACAAAATGTCAGATTGGGAATCGGTTTACCGGACCCCTGGCAAAAGGTATTTAGATAAACGCTGACGTTTCCTCTAACATCTAAGTCAGAAGGAATGAGTGCATAGTCAGAAAGAAATGAGAACAATAAGCGACTTGTTGTGCGCCATGGAGTTTGATTGTTATTGTCATTAAACAATACATCACGTAACTAACCACTGGGTAGTTCTGTGGGCACCAGGGTCCTACTCAGGACCCACCCGACCCGAGTACCCGAGTTACCCGTCCCAGCCCTAGGCGACGACGAATCTGAACATGAAGAGTGAGTGAATGTTGTTTAACGCCGGCTATCAGTTACCCTGTCTGGACCCGACACGTAAACAGCCAAGGGTGACAAAACCTTACCACTCGAGCCAACGTGTTCGCCTCGTTTATAGATGTCTGTCCCACAGGAACATAGGCAGATTCTTTTCATCTCTGGAGTCGCACCCAGGAGGCAGGTGTCACTAAACTTTCCCTTCTAACTATGATGGATGACAGAGAAACAGGATTGAAGGCAACTAGAATGGCGGGATGACAACGTCTCTAAATGATTAATGGAAACCATTACTGATCGATGTTTTAAATAGGTTGTGGATAGACCAATCATGATCGTCCTTCAAATCTGTTATATTTCCACTGTAAACATTCTTTTCAAACATATCACCATAAAAGTATCATATATCCAAATATAACAAGACTACCGTGTATTCGTGTAGTTTCAATAATACGGCACGGTTTGAAAGGTGGGGCGAATAAGTAAAAACTCTTAGTCTGTTATGTTGTATATAGTTGGCAACAAAATTCCATCTCGATTTGGCTATGGCACTGCCGAAATCCAGTGATCAAGGTGTGTGAACAATATTGCTTTCCTTTCATTTACGTTGTGCTTGAAAGTATTTAGCTTTTTTAAGTGAATAAAAAAATCATTAATGTTCAAACAAGACGTTTCTGACAGAAAATGCTACAATTGTTTCAACGGAAGTCCTTTACGACGGAGTCATTTTATTAGGTTTGTGGTTAATAGTATACTGAGTCTAGAATTGCATTGCGCATGTCCTGCGGGTTGAGAATGTAAACTTCCGCTGAACGACGGCGAAGACTATTCCATACAAAATGTCAATTTCTACCCGCAGAACATGAGATGAATAAATAATTATGTATTATTTTAAAGATTACAACGGTGGAAATCCAACAGATGACCTCCAACGTTCAGTCCGAGGTGATTTAGATTAAATACACAGTAAAACATTCAGACACCGTTCCTCATGACATGTCGAAACTGGTAGATTCACTAAAGCTACCGGCAACATATCGCATATTTACATGTTTGCTATTCTTTGTCCCTGCAAAATACCATGTTGGGATAATATGGACCGATAACATGAATGGTTTTAAAGAACAGATATTTATCTACCTTCACCATGATCACTTCAGCAGAAAATTAAATTCTGATTTCTAAGTCATTCCTTACAGATCTGTATGACAGTGGCGGTTGGAGCTATTGTTTTCGTTCAAATTACGCTAATTTGCCTTGGTGAATAGAACATCACACCATTTTTATAGATTTCATATAGATCTAGCATTTTACTGGCAGAATAATACGTGGTTCCTAAGCTACTAATGCAAGTAATACGATAAGGCCAGCCTTCATGTTGTGAATTATTGCATTGTTCATACGAACATGAGTATTCAATGTTGTAAATGCCTGAAAGGATATGCAACAATATAACAGACAAAATGATGATATGCCTGACTGCCCTGGTTATAGCAATAGGAAGCATCAATGGGAAGACCATACAACTAAAAAATGTAGATGGCAGAATCCGTGAACAAAACATAAAACTACATGCTTTGGAGACTTAGATAGGTCGTCATTAAGAAATGGAGGCCATTATAATATTTTAATAAAAATGAGAGAAAGGGCAGAATTTCAACAGTGGTTCTACCTCCATCTATTTAGATAGTTTCAAATACCCAAATTAGAGAGAATACTAAAGACAGAATGATGGAAGAATAGTACGAGGCCAGTTTCTTTTGACTTCTTTTTTTTTAATCATGTTTTGTCATGCAATTATTATTATAATGTTTTTTGCATGGTTCCATACACTAGATCGAGCCAATGAGAGTCTGAATGAATTGAGAGGTGCTTTCGACACGCCATCAGGCTTGCCAACTCCTTCAAGGGCTAAAGATGATCTGAGTCGAGCTGTTCACCCACGCATTTTGACATACGAAGATGGAGGCCAGAGGCCACAGAAGTACCGAGATGCTGCGCTGCATCTCCAGCAGATGCTGTCTCCACAGCCTGAAAGGGTAAGTAAGATTGAATATGATAGTTCACTTTAAACATTGTTGAAATAATGTCTCGATCATTACAAGCAAATACTGGTAAAGATTTATTTTGGGGGCTTGGGGTCTCTTCCATCAGGGAACCCCAAACTTGGAAGTTAATTCTTTGCAATGTATCAGTTCCTCCATCTTTGAAGCTCCACCATCTACACCCATATTTCATATGTTCCCAGAAATGAATGAGGAAATGCCATAAGAACTACATAACCAAATTTGTATTTCATATGATTATTAAACTGTTAAATGACAGATTTAATTTCTTGTTGTTTTCTATGTTTCTAACTCTGTGCTAAAAATATGACTTGTCTGTGTTCCAATGGTTTTGGTATACTGTATGTTATTACCACATTTACCTCTGAACAACAGGTTTCTGATGGCCCTGACCCCTCACCTGTCCCCGCTCGGGGACCCCTTCCCACCCCGGATGAGGCGGCCATAATGCTCCAGCACCAGGCTTCCCTCACCCACCACCTGGAGTCAGAGAACCGCTACATCCGGGTGAGTAGTGGCTGTTCAGTCAAACAATACAACACTGTCAAGCAATACTACACTGTCAAGCAATACTACACTGTCAAGAAATACTACACTGTCAAGCAATACTACACTGTCAAGCAATACAACACTGTCAAACAATACTACACTGTCAAGCAATACTACACTGTCAAGCAATACAACACTGTCAGACAATACTGCACTGTCAAAATGTCAGCTGATTTCATCTTGTCAGTAGGGGCCGTCGGGTAGCCTAGTGGTTAGAGCGTTCGCTCATCACGCCGAAAGCCCGGGTCCGAATCTCGACATGGGCACAATGTGTGAAGCCCATTTCTGGTGTCCCCCTCATGATATTGCTGGAAAATTGCTAAAAGCGGCGTAAAACCATACTCACTCACTCACTCATCTTGTCAGTATAACAGAATTGCAAATCATTCCCACGACTATTTTAGTTTCATTTTTCAAATTGTTCCATTTTGAAATGTGTGTTATCTTGGATTTACAATGTTATTCAATCCAGCAATACTACTAAAGTAGTGTTAAGTGAAATAGTAACAGCTATGAGTCGCCTCATTCCAGCAATCAATATCCTAAAGTTGATGATACTATAATGTGATGTTTATTTTTTTGTGTGTTTCAGGAGGAAATGACCATCTTGCGCCTGAAGCTTGGCGAGGTGCTGGATGAGAACAAGCGCCTGCACGATGAGCTGAAAACAACGGTGGTGCATGAGATACTCCGAGAAGGAGGTGCAGATCTTGCCCAGGTAAACTTCCATCATTCATAAGACCCCTCACTGAGCAAGATGTGTTTTGTTTGTTGTTTAAAACTGCACTCAGAACTATACCAGCTGTATGATGGCGGTCTGTAAATAATTGAGTCTGGACCAGACAATCCAATGTTTGACAAAATCATGAGCATCCATCCATGCAATTGGGATACGATGACATGCATCAACCAAGTCAGTGAGCCTGACCACCAGGTCCCGTTAGTAGCCTCTTACAACAAGCATTGTCGCATTTTTCGGCAAGCATGGGTTGCTGAAGACCTATTCTACCCCGGATCTTCACGGGTCCACTGAGCAAGAACTTGTGGGCACATGTAGCTCAAAGTCATCTAAAGCACTGTATTATGCCCCTCTACTTCCCCAATCAACACACACACAACTGCAGTATTAGATATACCACAGCTGTGATATGACTGAAATACTGCTGACTGGTTTAAAACCACATGCAAAGTTTTTACCAGTGCATTAAAAACATTTCTACATTTGTGGCTGTTTATGTTGAAATCCTTGTCATCAGCTTGCTGTGGCTGTTTTAGTACATGGGCAGTCTGGACTCTGCTCTGAAGGACACAGTGAGTCCCGGGATGGCGAGACACGACTACCGGCGCTGGCAGGTTGAGCTGGTGGGTTCTGCACAGATCATTTCATGTTGATTTACTCCACACCCATGCAAGTGCTTTACCTGGGAAAGCGTGGAAAGTGTACATGGTTAAAGTTGATTTAAACATATTTTATTGTGAAACATCAACTGGATTAGGCACACTACCGAGACCTTCTCCTGAAGGCATTTTAAAATAATTAATTAAATGTACTGTTTGTTTGTTTAATGCCGCACCCAGCAATATTCCAGCTACATGACGGCGGTCTGTAAATAATCGAGCCTTGACCAGACAATCCAGTGATTGACATCATAAGCATTGATCTACGCAATTCGGATACGATGACAATCATCAAATGAGTCAGCGACCCTGAGCACCCAATCCCGTTAGTTGCCTCCTATGACAACTGTAAATTGCTGAAGATCAGTTCTAACCCAGATCTTCACGGGTGATAAAAAAATGTAAGGCTTATGAATATGACATTGTGCAAGATGTTTTCTGTATGGAATACAGAACACAGCAGAGAGTCCTGTGGTGCAATGTCGTCTTTACCTTTCAGGAGAGGCTGAGCTCTCTGCATGCCAACAAATCAGAGCGCCTGGAATCCCAGTTGGCTCATGCAAGGTAGGATGTGTCCTTGTGCAGAGGTCAGAAACTGCAACACTGACTGCTCAAACATTGTTTAGCAAAATATGTTCCTGTTTGCGATTAAAGTATAACAGATGACATAATCATGAAACAGTTAGTCTCAGAAACAATGTGAGAGAAGAATGCCACCAAATAGATTTTTGTATAGGGAAGAATTTCAGATAAGTAATGTGTCAGCAAATGAGACCTGTGAGAAGACCATGTAAGAAAAAATACTACTGTTTCCCTTACCCCTATTACAAGAGTTGTTCCTCCTACCCGTATTACAAGAGTTGTTCCGCTTCCCTGTATTACAAGAGTTGTTCCCCTTGACTTTATTACAAGAGTTGTTCCCCTTGACTGTATGACAAGAGTTGTTCCCCTTGACTGTATTAAAAGAGTTGTTCCCTTTTCCTTGTATTACAAGAATTGTTCCCCTTCCCTGTATTACAAGAGTTGTTCCCCTTGACTGTATTACAGGAGTTGTTCCCCTTGACTGTATTAAAAGAGTTGTTCCCCTTTCCTTGTATTACAACAAGCTCCTTCCCAGCGCGTGACACCTTCGTTACACTCTCGGTAACATCGCTGCCACCAGTGTGGGCGCGGCCATTACAAGAATCTTGAAATTTGCCCTCTAACCCCAAATGTAGTAACGTTTATACTTTTGTTTATGTCTTTGGGAATGCCATCATATTTCAATTTGAAAAGGTTTACGACTGACCATGTTTTCCAGATGAATTTACTTTGTTGTTTTGATAATCAGATTGGTTCGAGATTGCAGACTAACGGAAAACCAACCAACTTCTCCCTTACATTCTTACTATATCAATAACACGATAGTTTTAATGAAACAGAAATTCAAATTGACAAACGAAGAAAGTAATTTAGCAGCTATAAGTGTATTCGGCGTCACGACAGTCGTCACTTGTTTGTAAACAAAACGGTCATTCGGTTGCGAGTTCAACTCCAAGCATGGTTGTGGCCACCTATTCACAGTGGGGAGTTTTGACTGGTGGCAGCGATAGTATAGAGAGCTCCGGGAACGTACTATCGCTGTGAGGAGCTTGGTATTACAAGAATTGTTCCCCTTGGCTGTATTACAAGAGTTGTTCCCCTTTCCCTGTATTACAGGAGTTGTTCCTCTTGATTGTATTACAAGGGTTGTTCCCCTTTCCCTGTATTACAAGAGTTGTTCCCCTTTCCCTGTATTACAAGAGTTGTTCCCCTTTCCCTGTATTACAAGTGTTGTTCCCCTTCCCTGTATTACAAGAGTTGTTCCCCTTGATTGTATTACAAGGGTTGTTCCCCTTTCCCTGTATTACAGGAGTTGTTCCTCTTGATTGTATTACAAGGGTTGTTCCCCTTTCCCTGTATTACAAGAGTTGTTCCCCTTTCCCTGTATTACAAGAGTTGTTCCCCTTTCCCTGTATTACAAGTGTTGTTCCCCTTCCCTGTATTACAAGAGTTGTTCCCCTTGATTGTATTACAAGAATTGTTCCCCTTCCCTGTATTACAAGAGTTGTTCCCCTTCCCTGTATTTCAAGAATTGTTCCCCTTGACTGTATTAAAAGAGTTGTTCCCCTTTCCTTGTATTACAAGAATTGTTCCCCTTGGCTGTATTACAAGAGTTGTTCCCCTTTCCCTGTATTACAGGAGTTGTTCCTCTTGATTGTATTACAAGGGTTGTTCCCCTTTCCCTGTATTACAAGAGTTGTTCCCTTTTCCCTGTATTACAAGAGCTGTTCCCCTTTCCCTGTATTACAAGTGTTGTTCCCCTTCCCTGTATTACAAGAGTTGTTCCCCTTGATTGTATTACAAGGGTTGTTCCCCTTTCCCTGTATTACAAGAGTTGTTCCCCTTCCCTGTATTACAGGTGTTGTTCCCCTTCCCTGTATTGCAAGAGTTGTTCCCCTTGATTGTATTACAAGAGTTGTTCCCCTTTCCCTGTATTACATGGGTTGCTCCCCTTTACTGTATTACAAGAGTTGTTCCCCTTCCCTGTATTACAAGTGTTGTTCCCCTTCTCTGTATTTCAAGAGTTGTTCCCCTTCCCTGTATTACAAGTGTTGTTCCCCTTCCCTGTATTTCAAGAATTGTCCCCCTTGACTGTGTTACAAGAGTTGTTTCCCTTCCCTGTATTACAAGAGTTGTTCCCCTTGACTGTATTACAAGAGTTGTTCCCCTTGACTGTGTTACACGCGTTGTTTCCCTTCCCTGTATTGCAAGAGTTGTTTCCCTTCCCTGTATTAAAAAGGTTGTTTCCCTTGCCTATATTACAAGGGTTGTTCCCCTTTCCCTGTATTACAAGAGTTGTTCTCCTTCCCTGTATTACAAGTGTTGTTCCCCTTCCCTGTATTGCAAGAGTTGTTCCCCTAACCCATATTACAAGAGTTGTTTCCCTTGATTGTATTACAAGAGTTGTTCCCCTTTTCCTGTATTACAAGGGTTGCTCCCCTTTACTGTATAACAAGAGTTGTTCCCCTTCCCTGTATTACAAGTGTTGTTCCCCTTCCCTGTATTTCAAGAATTGTTCCCCTTGACTGTGTTACAAGAGTTGTTTCCCTTCCCTGTATTGCAAGAGTTGTTTCCCTTCCCTGTATTATAAGAGTTGTTTCCCTTGCCTATATTACAAGAGTTGTTTCCCTCCCTGTATTACAAGAGTTGTTCCCCTTGACTGTATTACAAGAGTTGTTCCCCTTGACTGTGTTACACGCGTTGTTTCCCTTCCCTGTATTGCAAGAGTTGTTTCCCTTCCCTGTATTATAAAAGTTGTTTCCCTTGCCTATATTACAAGAGTTGTTTCCCTTCCCTGTATTACAAGAGTTGTTTCCCTTGACTGTATTGCAAGAGTTGTTCCCCATGACTGTATTACAAGAGTTGTTCCCCAAGACTGTATTACAAGAGTTCACTCAGGTCTACAAGGCTTGAACCAAACCCAAAATGATACCTTAGGCAGGAATTTAGTTGTATTATTGAATGAGTTCACTGTTAATCATGTAATGCCAGGTCCCACCGCTTAATCTCTGTATAACATGAAGCGCCATCTTTGAAGACAGGTTATCTGTGCTTAGTAGAAATACCATGTTGTGTTAATGTGATAGCCTTGGGCATGAGACCAGTGCTGGCGAAGGAACAAAATAATATAGCAAGAGTTGTTTCCCTTTCCTTGTCCATACAAGCACGTGACTCCTTCGATACCCAACTATCATCACTGCCACTATTGTGGAGCAGCCATTATTTCAAGACATTTCCCTCTAACCCAGAATCAAGGGACATATAATTATATATATATTTGACTGTTTGTCATTTTAAAAATGTGCATGTCATGTTTCTGAATACTTGATGAGTTACTGAATCCTGAAAAAATATGGTATTTCTTCTAAAACAAATGGTTTGAGATGTAGACAAACGGATAAGCGGATACGTTCTCTGTGATATTCTCACCACACTGGCTATCTGATAGAAGGCTATTGATAACATCCTTTCCTGTTGTCAAACAAAAAGAACAAGTTAACGACAATTGACATTGCTTGTTTGTAAGCATAAGGGCGTGTTACTATTTCATCTCCATATATGACACCTGGCACAGTGGAGAGTTGCAACTGGTGACAGCCATAGCATAGAAGCTCTGAAAACTGGTTATCACTGTGAGGAGCTTGGACAATATTACAAGAGTTGTTTCCCTTTCCAGGTCCGAGCTGGAGAAGTATGAGCAGATGGTGGAGGATCTGAGGTCTCAGCTGCGGATGCATGACACCATCCCGACACACGAGAATGGGCTGTCCACCAACATCTTCCTGTCTGACACACACCGGGCCTTCCACCAGCAGACCATCGACAGACTCACCAAGTAGGACTTGTTCTATTTGAAAGACTCATTAAGTAGGACTTGTTCTATTCGACAGACTCACCCAGTAGGACTTGCTCTATTTAACAGACTCACCAAGTAGGACTTGTTCTACTTGACCGACTCACCAAGTAGGACTTGTTCTACATGACAGACTCACCAAATAGGACTTGTTCTATATGACAGACTCACCCAATAGGACTTGTTCTATTGACAGACTCACCCAGCAGGACTTGTTCTACATGACAGACTCACCCAGTAGGACTTGTTCTATTGACAGACTCACCCAGTAGGACTTGTTCTATATGACAGACTCACCCAGTAGGACTTGTTCTATTGACAGACTCACCCAGCAGGACTTGTTCTACATGACAGACTCACCCAGTAGGACTTGTTCTATTGACAGAATCACCCAGTAGGACTTGTTCTATATGACATACTCATTAAGTAGGACTTGTTCTACTTGACAGACTCACCCAGTAGGACTTGTTCTACTTGACAGACTCACCAAGTAGGACCTTTTCTATTTGACAGACTCACCCAGTAGGACTTGTTCTCTTTGACAGACTCACCCAGTAGGACTTGTTCTACTTGACCAGCTAAGTGGGCTTGTATAGCATCATAACTGAAATCAAGGGCTTCCAACTTAAATTTGTCTAATTTTATTCAAACATTTACCACTAGAAATAGCTCATATGACAGGAGAAGAGTAAGAAGTTTGAAAGTGCTCCTTTAGGAATGCAGCATTTCCTTTATATGTGTTTCCTTCCTTCATAGGAATTAAGGGTTATTAATTTCATGTTATTTTAAATGATGTTAACATCATCTGATACAGGGGTCTTGACTGCGTTCTGTGTTCAGGGAACGTCATAAGCTTGATGAACTGATGGACCATGTGTCTGTTAGGGTGGTGTCCCTTGATTGACCATGTGTTCTGTGTGCAGGGAGCGTGAGAAGCTGGTGGACCACATGGCTAGTAGGGATTGTGTCCCTTGATTGACCGTGTGGTCTGTGTGCAGGGAGCGTGAGGAGCTGGTGGACCACATGGCTAGTAGGGTTGTGTCCCTTGATTGACCGTGTGTTCTGTGTGCAGGGAGCGTGAGGAGCTGGTGGACCACATGGCTAGTAGGGTGGTGTCCCTTGATTGACTGTGTGTTCTGTGTGCAGGGAGCGTGAGGAGCTGGTGGACCACATGGCTAGTAGGGTTGTTTCCCTTGATTGACCGTGTGTTCTGTGTGCAGGGAGCGTGAGGAGCTGGTGGACCACATGGCTAGTAGGGTGGTGTCCCTTGATTGACCGTGTGTTCTGTGTGCAGGGAGCGTGAGGAGCTGGTGGACCACATGGCTAGTAGAGTTGTTTCCCTTGATTGACCGTGTGTTCTGTGTGCAGGGAGCGTCATGAGCTGGTGGACCACGTGGCTAGTAGGGTTGTGTCCCTTGATTGACAGTGTGTTCTGTGTGCAGGGAGCGTGAGGAGCTGGTGGACCACATGGCTAGTAGGGTTGTTTCCCTTGATTGACCGTGTGTTCTGTGTGCAGGGAGCGTGAGGAGCTGGTGGACCACGTGGCTAGTAGGGTTGTGTCCCTTGATTGACAGTGTGTTCTGTGTGCAGGGAGCGTGAGGAGCTGGTGGACCACATGGCTAGTAGGGTGGTGTCCCTGAATTGACTGTGTGTTCTGTGTGCAGGAAGCGTGAGGAGCTGGTGGACCACATGGCTAGTAGGGTTGTGTCCCTTGATTGACCGTGTGTTCTGTGTGCAGGGAGTGTGATGAACTGATGGACCACGTGGCTAGTAGGGTTGTGTCCCTTGATTGACCGTGTGTTCTGTGTGCAGGGAGCGTGATGAGCTGATGGACCATGTGGCTAGCAGAGTTGTGTCCCTTGATTGACCGTGTGTTCTGTGTGCAGGGAGCGTGATGAACTGATGGACCACGTGGCTAGTAGGGTTGTTTCCCTTGATTGACCGTGTGCTCTGTGTGCAGGGAGCGTCATGGGCTGATGGACCACGTGGCAAGCAGAGTTGTTTCCCTTGATTGACCGTGTGTTCTGTGTGCAGGGAGTGTGATGAGCCGATGGACCACGTGGCTAGTAGGGTTGTGTCCCTTGATTGACTGTGAGTTCTGCGTGCAGGGAGCGTGATGTGCTGATGGACCACGTGGCTAGTAGGGTTGTTTCCCTTGATTGACCGTGTGTTCTGTGTGCAGGGAGCGTGAGGAGCTGATGGACCATGTGGCTAGTAGGGTTGTTTCCCTTGATTGACCGCGTGTTCTGTGTGCAGGGAGCGTGATGAGCTGATGGACCACGTGGCTAGTAGGGTTGTGTCCCTTGATTGAAGGTGTGCTCTGTGTGCAGGGAGCGTGATGAGCTAATGGACCACGTGGCTAGCCTGAAGGGCCGACTGGTGGACATGACTCGGAGAGAGGAGGACTCCTATGTCCAGATGAAGAAGGGCATCGAACTGGTGGAGCAGGCTCAGTTAGAGCAGACTCAGGTCAGCAGCACACTCCCACAGCAGTAGCACCACTCTGGTGGGTCAGGGACACACAGCAGTAGCACCACTCTGGTGGGTCAGGGACACACAGCAGTAGCACCACTCTGGTGGGTCAGGGACACACAGCAGTAGCACCACTCTGGTGGGTCAGGGACACACAGCAGTAGCAGCACTCTGGTGGGTCAGGCACACACAGCAGTAGCACCACTCTGGTGGGTAAGGCACACGCAGCAGTAGCATCACTCTGGTGGGTCAGGCACACACAGCAGTAGCATCACTCTGGTTGGTCAGGGACACACAGCAGTAGCACCACTCTGGTGGGTCAGGGACACACAGCAGTAGCACCACCCTGGTGGGTCAGGGACACACAGCAGTAGCACCACTCTGGTGGGGCAGGCACACACAGCAGTAGCACCACTCTGGTGGGTCAGGGACACACAGCAGTAGCACCACTCTTGTGGGTCAGGGACACACAGCAGTAGCACCACTCTGGTGGGTCAGGGACACACAGCAGTATCATCGCTCTGGTTGGTCAGGGACACACAGCAGTAGCACCACTCTGGTGGGTCAGGCACACGCAGCAGTAGAACCACTCTGGTGGGTCAGGCACACACAGCAGTAGCACCACTCTGGTTGGTCAGGGACACACAGCAGTAGCACCACTCTGGTGGGTCAGGGACACACAGCAGTAGCACCACTCTGGTGGGTCAGGGACACACAGCAGTAGCACTACTCTGGTGGGTCAGGGACTCACAGCAGTAGCACCACTCTGGTGGGTCAGGCACACACAGCAGTAGCACCACCCTGGTGGGTCAGGGATACACAGCAGTAGCACCACTCTGGTGGGTCAGGGACACACAGCAGTAGCACCACTCTGGTGGGTCAGGGACACACAGCAGTAGCACCACTCTGGTGGGTCAGGGACACACAGCAGTAGCACCACTCTGGTGGGTCAGGCACACACAGCAGTAGCACCGCTCTGGTGGGTCAGGGACACACAGCAGTATCATCGCTCTGGTTGGTCAGGGACACACAGCAGTAGCACCACTCTGGTGGGTCAGGGACACACAGCAGTAGAACCACTCTGGTGGGTCAGGCACACACAGCAGTAGCACCACTCTGGTTGGTCAGGGACACACAGCAGTAGCACCACTCTGGTGGGTCAGGGACACACAGCAGTAGCACCACTCTGGTGGGTCAGGGACACACAGCAGTAGCACTACTCTGGTGGGTCAGGGACTCACAGCAGTAGCACCACTCTGGTGGGTCAGGCACACACAGCAGTAGCACCACCCTGGTGGGTCAGGGATACACAGCAGTAGCACCACTCTGGTGGGTCAGGGACACACAGCAGTAGCACCACTCTGGTGGGTCAGGGACACACAGCAGTAGCACCACTCTGGTGGGTCAGGGACACACAGCAGTAGCACCACTCTGGTGGGTCAGGGACACACAGCAGTAGCACCACTCTGGTGGGTCAGGGACACACAGCAGTAGCACCACTCTGGTCCTTTTGTCTAATGGAAGCTCGCAATTGGTGTGTGTCTATGATCAAGTCTGTCTGTGATCAAGTCTGTGTGTGTGTGTCTGTGGTCAAGTCTGTGTGTGTATGATCAAGTCTGTGTGTGTGTTTGATCAAGTCTGTGTGTGTGTCTGTGATCAAGTCTGTGTGTGTGTGTGATCAAGTCTGTGTGTGTCTGTGATCAAGTCTGTGTGTGTGTTTGATCAAGTCTGTGTGTGTGTCTGTGATCAAGTCTGTGTGTGTCTGTGATCAAGTCTGTGTGTGTGTCTGTGATCAAGTCTGTGTGTGTCTGTGATCAAGTCTGTGTGTGTGAGATCAAGTCTGTGTGTGTGTCTGTGATCAAGTCTGTGTGTGTCTGTGATCAAGTCTGTGTGTGTCTGTGATCAAGTCTGTGTGTGTGAGATCAAGTCTGTGTGTGTGTCTGTGATCAAGTCTGTGTGTGTGTCTGTGATTAAGTCTGTGTGTGTGAGATCAAGTCTGTGTGTGTGTCTGTGATCAAGTCTGTGTGTGTCTGTGATCAAGTCTGTGTGTGTGTTTGATCAAGTCTGTGTGTGTGTCTGTGATCAAGTCTGTGTGTGTCTGTGATCAAGTCTGTGTGTGTGTGTGATCAAGTCTGTGTGTGTCTGTGATCAAGTCTGTGTGTGTGTCTGTGATCAAGTCTGTGTGTGTCTGTGATCAAGTCTGTGTGTGTCTGTGATCAAGTCTGTGTGTGTGTCTGTGATCAAGTCTATGTGTGTGAGATCAAGTCTGTGTGTGTGTCTGTGATCAAGTCTATGTGTGTGAGATCAAGTCTGTGTGTGTCTGTGATCAAGTCTGTGTGTGTGAGATCAAGTCTGTGTGTGTGTCTGTGATCAAGTCTGTGTGTGTGTCTGTGATCAAGTCTATGTGTGTGTGTCTGTGATCAAGTCTATGTGTGTGTGTCTGTGATCAAATCTGTGAGTCTGCGTGTCATGATAAAATCTGTCTGCGTATCATGATCAGGTCTGTCTCTGTGTCTGTGTAGGCGATGGTGGAGCGGGAACAGCTGGCGGAGGAGCTGGCCAACATGAGGCATAGGTTCGAGGAGCACGTCATGGACTCGCAGCGCAAGATGGAGATGGAGAGGGACTCGGTCCGGAAGGAATCTCGCTTCCTGGTGGATGATCTCAACAATAAGGTACAGGAAGACTAAGTCTGACTATATTCACTGTACTCAGATCTGACCTGAGAGGCAGACTGGCCCAGGTGTCAAAGCTTGCAGTGCAGAGTTGCATCCCTTAGATGTGCCAAGATATATTGGTTGTATTTTGGAGTCCCAGATTTTCTGTCTGATTTCTGTAATCTCTTCAATTCAAGTTCCTTACAGTGAAACAGTGAATGTGCTTGTCGGCAATACAATACTTTTATGCAGGTGCACATTATCACTATGCAGTGAATCGTGCGACTCACACAGCCCTGGTGTTAGTCGTGTTGTGAGAGGCTGTAGGATTTGCTAGACACGTAACATCTGGGTTCTGTACATGGATGTGACAGTTTAGATGCTGTTGTATCAATGTAGACATTGATCACTGAGGGGCAGTGGGGTAGCCTTGTAGTTTCACTCACTCACTCACTCACTCACTCACTCACTCTACTCACTCTACTCACTCCACTCACTCCACTCACTCACTCACTCCACTCACTCACACTCACTCACTCACTCACTCACTCACTCACTCACTCACTCACTCACTCCACTCCACTCCACTCCACTCCACTCACTCAGGGACTCACTCACTCACTCACTCACTACAACTCACTCACTCACTCACTCACTCACTCACTCACTCAGTCACTCCACCCACCCACCCACTCACTCACTCACTCACTTACTCACTCACTCCACTCACTCACTCACTCACTCACTCTCACTCACTCACTCACTCACTCACTCACTCACTCACTCACTCCACTCCACTCACTCACTCACTCACTCACTCACTCACTCCACTCACTCACTCACTCACTCACTCACTCACTCACTCACTCCACTCACTCACTCACTCACTCACTCACTCCACTCACTCACTCACTCACTCACTCACTCCACTCCACTCCACTCCACTCCACTCCACTCCACTCACTCACTCACTCACTCACTCACTCACTCCACCCACCCACCCACCCACCCACCCACCCACCCACTCACTCACTCACTCACTCACTCACTCACTCACTCACTCACTCACTCACTCCACTCACTCCACTCACTCACTCCACTCACTCACTCACTCACTCACTCACTCACTCTATGTGTATGATAGCTGAAGGAGGCGACAGAGAAGCTGACTGTCATCGAGACGCGGCTGGAGAAGGTGACCCGGGACAAGATGTCCGTTATGAACGAACTGGACGAGACGAAGGCAGAGCTGAGGGTGTACAACAAGGAGGTCACTGTGGTCAGTTTCCACCTTGCTCGTAGATTCAGTTGTTTCAGAATAAGGAGAATACCCCAAGGATATCTATGGTAGACTTGTGACATACCATCAAAATCAGTTTTATGCTGTAATTTTCAGTCTCTATGATTGATTTGTCACATTAATATATCTGAATGAATAATAGGTGTTGATAATGCCTGTGCACTGTATTTGGGTACTCTGAGTAATATATATCATTCTAAAAGGTAGGTTTGGTCCCTCCTGGTTTAGGATAACAGAGTGTGTCTCTGTGTGAGAGGACCTGTCGCAATTGTTTTTATCTGTATCAAAATGTGCCGTTCTGATACATGGCTTAATCAACTGCTATGTTGTGTAGGCGACAGAGAACTATCGCAGTGAGACGACGAATGCCTCGCTCCAGAGAAGCAGCGCGGTACAGGAGTCGCACAAGATGAGGATGGAGCTGGACAGCTTCCGCCGGGACCGGGACCAGGTAGATGAGAACAATGACAGTATGGCCATTGTAACCATGTTAAAGATCTTCATCCCCTCTTGCCTCTCCCTGAGCATCCGGTCTGACATTGTTGTCCCTGCTTGCAGCCAACTGCATGTCTCCCACTGACTTTGGCACAAAAAAAGGCTGACCATGCTGTGTCTCTGTTGGTACTCAACTTGACAAGATAGTCCCTGAGCAAGGATGCCTTGAAAAATTTGGTTTCAGAAAAGGAGATAAAAATTAATTGTCTCCTTCCTCAATTTAATGGAAAAAATGGATGAAAATCTAATAATTTGGCCTGTTGTATGTCTTAGGCCTGGCCATTCTGTTTGGATCAGTTGGAAAAAATTGTTACATTCCAGAGTACTGTATTCGACCTAAAAAGCACCGAGGGTGCTCTCAAAATTAGAAATAGAATATTTTTAGAATATTATTTTGGTGAAAAAAACAAAACAGATTTGAAAGAACGTGAATTTCATGGTTTATGCTCACAGCCTGAAATGTTTATATATGACATATATTTTTCCAGAATTTAACTGCCCATAATTAAGGGTGCATATAACACACATGTGTGTATTATACACAAATAAATAAGTCTTGTGTACATTGATCAATCTGAAGGGGCGTTAATTGGGATTTTTCACTAGCCAATATATTAGCAAATATCGCTGGGGCGCTTATTAGAGCGGGGCGATTGTTACATCGAATACGGTAATTCTTAGAATACCACAGTGAACAACTATCTTGGGCACCACCACAGAGTTGCGTCCCTTAGACGTATCAGGCTACTAACACATTCCACCTTGTATCATGCTGCAGGAGCGGAGTCGGAGCCAGACGGAGGTGGATGACTTGCGACGGAGGCTGAACACTGCGGAGCGGGAACTGGTCAACAGCAAGGAGGAATGTATCCATCTCACAACAAATGCTCAGGCCTTGGAAAGGGAGGTAAGTCATGTCAGCCTGACAAGTCCTGGCAGGGTTAATGTATGGAATGAGATGATTGAATGATGAATATTGATTGCCATCTTGTGACTTCTTCAAACATCTGTCGATCTATCTGAAAGTGTCAGAGGATTGTGGATGTGATGTGTACACTACAGCATTACATTTCTAATTTGGTTATACTATTTCTGTTGAGTTTTAGCCCAGTCTTTGTAGATACGCCCTTGCTATTTCACTGTGGCCACTGGTGGCACGGGTGGCCCAGTCGTCTAAGGCGACGCAATTCGCTGTGCATAGTTGTTTCCTTTGGCTGTGCCAGAAACCTGTGATTGTGGGTTTGAATCCCGGTTCACCCTGATCATATTTCTAAGTTTGTCAGCACCATACCCGTGCTTGTGGGTTTCACCGAAGTGGTAAACTTCTGAGACCTGCATCTTCGGGCTTTCCTCCCTCATTAAGCTGACATGCCTTGATATAACTGTATACGGTTCAAAGCGACATGAAACCCAACTCACTCACTCACTCACTCACTCACTCACTCACTCACTCACTCACTCACTCACTCACTCACTCACTCACTCACTCACTCACTCACTCACTCACTCTCACTCACTCACTCACTCACTCACTCACTCACTCACTCACTCACTCACTCACTCACTCACTCACTCACTCACTGTGGGTACTACTCCATTTTTTGTTCTTTCAGCTTCATCTTGCCAAACTTGCCCGGGAGAGCATCGAGAGGACTCGCAATGAGGACCTCAAGTCTATCACCAAACAGGCTCAGCAGAGAGAGATTGACCTCAATAATTTCATTTCCAACCTGGAAGATAAGCATTGTAAGTTCTAAATACTTTCTCATTTTGAATTTTTAAATTACAAAATTTATTTTCCTTTCAATAACTCTTTACATCTTTGTCATAGGTTTTAAAGATGTGATGAAAAGTCTCCAAAGTGTCAAAAGAGTAGGTTAAAATGAGGATAAGATGTTACAGTGTGGGACTTGACTGTGATAGCACTGTGTTGATATGGGTGGTTGCTCATGCTATCAACCAGTGGTTCATGAGCTGCTGTGATGCTGCCAGATTACTGCTGATTGTGGCATAAAACAACACCCACTCACTTACTCCTTGTGTAGCAGTCCAGTGAAGATTCTGGGGTAGAACCCACGCTTCAGCAACCCATGCTTGTCGTAAGAGGCAACTAACGAGATCGGGTCGCCAGGCTCTTTGACTTGGTCGATGTCATCATATCCGAATTGCATTGATTGATGCTCATGATGCACATTAACTGATCTGACTTGGTCACCGAAAGAAAGCTCCAGTTTAATGAGTCTGTTTCACATTTTCTGTAGCCATGACAACGCACGAAATGGACACTATGCTGCATAAACAGAACCGTCTCATCATGAAGCTACGAGACGAGTGTAAGAGGCAGGCTGGACAGATGGAGAAACTCACCAAGAAATACAGGTACGCCTCGCACACCTGGGGGATTGAAATATAAACAAAGCTTCATTCATTCCCAAGGCTTCCGTGTTGCCTGGGTCAGCTGTTCACTTACTGCCCACACCACACACATTGACACGGGGTGGTTGGGTAAGCCTGGTGGTTAAAGAGGCATTAAACCATATTCACTCACTCACCCCACATCGACACAGGGTTGTTGGGTAAGCCTGGTGGTTAAAGAGGCATTAAACCATATTCACTCACTCACCCCACATCGACACGGCATGGTTGGGTAAGCTTGGTGGTTAAACCATATTCACTCACTCACCCCACATCGACACAGCATGGTTGGGTAAGCCTGGTGGTTAAAGAGGCATTAAACCATATTCACTCACTCACCCCACATCGACACGGCATGGTTGGGTAAGCCTGGTGGTTAAAGAGGCATTAAACCATATTAACTCACTCACCCCACATCGACACGGCATGGTTGGGTAAGCCTGGTGGTTAAAGAGGCATTAAACCATATTCACTCACTCACCCCACATTGACACGGGGTGGTTGGGTAAGCCTGGTGGTTAAAGAGGCTTTAAACCATATTCACTCACTCACCCCACATCGACACAAGGTGGTTGGGTAAGCCTGGTGGTTAAAGAATCTGCTGCAATACAGCTAAAATGTCAAGATACAACTTACACATATTCACTGACTTATAACACTGGCAGGGACTATCCTATAGTTTGTTGTTTAACGCCACACTCAGGAATATTCCAGCTATATGATATGAGATTATCACTATCTGTTGCTGCAGATCGGAGTTCAGCCACCTAAAGATTGAGAACGAAGAGTTGAAACAGAGGCTGGAGAGATCCTTGTCAAGACTGGAGGTGCTGGAGGACCAATCAGATCAACACGTACGCGTACACGACAAGATGAAAGAGAGGCTGAAGATGATGGACGACCATGCTCAACACCAGTCTTCCCAGGTAGGTGGCCAGCATCAGTATCTGGAGCGTGAGGACATAGGGTGGGAAGGAAGGCTCCATCATCTAGTCAGATGATCCCTAAGTTTGGATAAGTGCTGTCTACATTTAGTTTTAGTAGTTTGAATGGACAATTAAAAGGCAAAAGACTCCACTCCGTATGGGGTACACTCAACGTGTTTCAGTGGGCACTGGTCAGTACAACTGTATTTGTATTTTCAACTCGCTGGTCAGTATACAACCCAAGCTAGTATTTATATCACTATCTCATCCTACCAGGTACCCATAAACATCACCATCTCATCCTACCAGGTACCCATAAACATTACCATCTCATCCTACCAGGTACCCATAAACATTACCATCTCATCCTACCAGGTACCCATAAACATTACCATCTCATCCTACCAGGTACCCATAAACATTACCATCTCATCCTACCAGGTACCCATAAACATTACCATGTCATCCTACCAGGTACCCATAAACATTACCATCTCATCCTACCAGGTACCCATAAACATTACCATCTCATCCTACCAGGTACCCATAAACATTACCATCTCATCCTACCAGGTACCCATAAACATTACCATCTCATCCTACCAGGTACCCATAAACATTACCATCTCATCCTACCAGGTACCCATAAACATCACCATCTCATCCTACCAGATACCCATAAACATTACCATCTCATCCTACCGGGTACCCATAAACATTACCATCTCATCCTACCAGGTACCCATAAACATTACCATCTCATCCTACCAGGTACCCATAAACATTACCATCTCATCCTACCAGGTACCCATAAACATTACCATCTCATCCTACCAGGTACCCATAAACATTACCATCTCATCCTACCAGGTACCCATTCACTGCTGGGTGATCAGGAAGCAAATTTCACACTAAGTCACTTACATAAGGAGACACTACATGTTTGTAACCTGTGTTTCAGTGTAGGGCATGACCATAGTGGTCACTCTCATCCGCACGCCTACTGTCCACCACAAGCATTGATTAGCTTTATGTCATGTTGCAATCTCATTAATATCAGATCTTGGTTCTTGTGTCTGCTAAGCAAAGATCTGAGGATGTCCCATTATGGGTCAGGTCAGAAGTCAAATAAGAGTGTTGCTAACCATGTCAGAAAGGGACAGTTGGAATATGTTTTGTAATCATGCAACCTCGAAAAGGTTAACACAGGGTATTTCCAACCACAGTTATGGCTGTGCGACTAATTCCATCAAAATTCATCATCTATCTCTCGTTTAAATGGGATAAAAAAATTAAACTGAAGGAACTTTCCATAGCCCATATATTGGCCATCTGTTAATACATTCCAGAATTTTGTTTTCCATTTTCAAATTTTAAATCAATATTATTCCAAAGTGTAGTCTGAAATGGAAGTGGCTAGTTTGAAACTAGTGCAATTAAGCTTGAGTAAGCTGCTTTCTGATTGGCTAATGTCGACATATTAATGATAGGCAACAGAATATCCTGAATACATTGTTGGATTGGTGTATCAGTGGAGTAAGACCTATCCTTCTTGTACAAAGAATCCTTGAAATCAAGAAATTTGTAGCCAGGTATAGACTGTAACATGTCTCTATTTGTAAAGTGACGAGAATTTGTTATTCTAGTTTACTGTATTTCAGATGCTGGAAATCCTCACAAAACTCAGCAGTGTTGTTCGAGATCGACAGCTGCTAGCTCGTGAAGTTGACTTCCTGCGTACACAATTGAGTAGAATTGACCAATCAACCGTCCACAAACTGAGCTCGTCCAGCAAGGCGTTGGTCGATGAGATCCTCAATGCGGTCACCAAGGAAGAAAAGACAGGAAAAGGACATCTGAATCTGGATCCAGAAATATATAAAGTAGAACTTACCAACAATATTAACATTGATGATCTAGTGTAACTGAAAGTATTAGATATAGACACTTGATGGAAACGTAAGATTAGCATCGGACCAGAAAGACAGGCATGTTAGCTTCCTTTCTAGACAGGACTTAAGACTTCCAAGCCACGTTAACCTGACACGCTGTGATAATACTGTTCAAAGAGCCGTAACGACCCAACTCACTCACTTCTAAAAAATGGCAATTTTTTAACTTATCCTGCATTACTCCGTATTGCATTTACTGCTATGTTTGACAGAGAGACGAACTGTGTGAGATCCAGCTGCTGAAGAAAGTTGTCCCAACCAGCCCAGGAGGCAGCGCCCTCTCACAGTCGGCACGTGACCCGGAAGTCATGACGTCACACCAAAAGACATAACTGCTTTGTCACCTCCACGGACGGACGTACTTTGTATCCCTTGTGGAAATTAAAGCTTATTATTTGTTTTTTATATTTTGCGTGTTTCTACATTCATTATATGCTGCTACATTGTTACCTGTTATGGGCCGTGACCTTAGGGTCTTCCCATTCGTAAATTGTAACGTTTATCGCTCGTCTGTGGCTCACGTCACAGTAATTTACGGGCGCAATGTTGTTCCCGCCATTTTGTTTTCTTTCCCGCCATTTTGGCCATTCACCACGTGGCCACGTAATGTCGTGTTCTGCGTTTTGAATTCTCTCTTTGGCTTGGGTAATACATTACATTTATGTATGTTGTTTTGGTGTGCTTAAAGCCTTGCCTTTTCGCTACCTCTAAGCGTAATTGTTTCTTCTCATAAACTTCAATATAATACGAAGTTTATGAGTTACATTATGTCTCCCGTACTCTGTGGTTTTGCCACATGGTTACGTGTTTGCTTAAGGCTTTGCCTTTTCGCTCCCTTTTAGCGTACTTGTTTATCTCATAAACTTTAATAAAATATACTGTTTTTGAGTTACTTTATGCTTCCCATACTTTGTGATTGGCCACACATTATGCTTCCCGCACTTTGTGGCTTTGCCACATAGTTATGTTTTGCTTAAATTCCAGATTTTCTGCCTCGCTGCACTTGTTGCCGCGGGAACAAATCTGGCCGGGGCCGCCCCTTTCTGCCGTGATTGTACGACGCCCTGTACTTTCACAAGGCAGTGCCGATGTTGCAGTCATTCGTCGCTGTGATCCTTCAGCTCATGCGAGTATCCAGGACACACCTCGCTCAACGTGCTCGTCGACCCCCACCTACGTTGACGGCAGCAGCGCTCAGCGGAGCTTCACGGCGGCTCCCAACGTAGAGTCTGCCTCCCATGGCACGACATACGACCGTTCACGGTCTCCTACTCCACCGGCGGCTCCAGCGCTCCCAACGTAGAGTCTGCCTCCCATGGCACGACATACGACCGTTCACGGTCTCCTACTCCACCGGCGGCTCCAGCGCTCCCAACGTAGAGTCTGCCTCCCCTGGCACGACATACGACCGTTCACGGTCTCCAACACCGTCAACGCTGATGTCTCCGGCGCCCCCGGCGCCCCCGGCGCCCCCGGCGCCTCTGATGACACGGCGCTCCCGGCGCCTCCGGCGCCTCTGATGACACGGCGCTCCCGGCGCCTCCGGCGCCTCTGATGACACGGCGCTTCTGATGACGCGGCGCCTCCGGCGCCTCTGATGACACGGCGCCTCCGGCGCTTCTGATGACGCGGCGCCTCCGGCGCTTCTGATGACGCGGCGCCTCCGGCGCCTCTGATGACACGGCGCTTCTGATGACGCGGCGCCTCCGGCGCCTCTGATGACACGGCGCCTCCGGCGCTTCTGATGACGCGTCGCCTCCGGCGCTTCTGATGACGCGGCGCCTCCGGCGCCTCTGATGACGCGGCGCCTCCGGCACTTCTGATGACGCGGCGCCTCCGGCGCCTCTGATGACACGGCGCCTCCGGCGCTTCTGATGACGCGGCGCCTCCGGCGCCTCTGATGACGCGGCGCCTCTGATGACACGGTGCCTCCGATGTCTCGGCGCCTCTGATGACACGGCGCCTCCGATGTCTCGGCACCTCTGATGACACGGTGCCTCCGATGTCTCGGCGCCTCTGATGACTCGGCGCCTCTGACTCGGCGCTCCCGGCGCCTCCGATGACTCGGCGCCGCTGATGTCTCGGCGCTCAACAAGCTTCATGACTTGTTCATGACAAGCTGATGACTCGGCGCTCCCGGCGCCTCCGATGACTCGGTGCCACCGGCGCCTCTGATGACTCGGCGCCGCTGATGTCTCGGCGCCTCTGATGTCTCCGCGCTCCGGCGCCTCCGCATCCTCTGATGTCTTCGGCGCTCAACAAGCTTCAGATCAACAAGCTTTATCAAGCTCAGATCAACGAGCCGACCATCCGATCTTCTACTGCGGCTTAAGGGGCACCATCGGCAATCGCCTCCCCGGCGCCACTGCCCTCTTCTCTTGCTGCCGTCTCATAACTCGTCACACGGAGAAGCATGGTGAAACAACTGTCGCCGCTCCTGTCGCTACTCTCCCGTCGGTCTTCGGGATCGTGACTATCGTACTACTTCCTGGGTGGAATCATTTCAACCAATAGACAGTTGGTCTGATTCAGCTTGCCCACTGAGACGTTATCCATAATCCCGTCGTTTAAAGCGCTATGATTCCGGAGAGATGACCTGCGGGTTTCCATCGAAACAGAGCGCCATGTGAACAGCGTCTGTATCAGATTCGATGACGACATCCACTTACAAAGAGTTTACTTCGTCGACATCGCAGACATCAACGCTGTTCTACCCTACCCTAGCGCCAGCGTTCCTGAGAGAGACTCTTCCTCGGCGCTCCCCGGGTTTTACACGACGCCCATGGGGTTCCGTGTTTTATCGCAAACTCGGGTACACCACTTGATCGTCTCTCACACAGTTCATTGAGGATTGTCTGTGTGTGGAGTTTGCACCTCAGTTCCGACTCCAAGGCGGTTTTCTCGGCTACTGCGCAGAGTGATTTACATGTCACGTGTCAAGTACTCGGACTGTCAACAACTCCGACCGGATTTAGGTCAACTTACCATGGCAAGGGGTGCCATGTATTTCTACAGATTGGTTTCCATGTCTACCTGTACGCTTGGTGATACCACTCAACCAGGCGCCTGTCGCAGTCCATCCATGCACGGATGTTGGAAACAATAGACCTCCTCTACCAACACGGCTGTCACGAGGAACCTTGTTTCATCAACCCTTCGCTATAAGAACGATAGCGCCTATAGGCGTTCAAGGGATGGAAAAGATCGCCTTCCTTCGTCCGGTTTGATCTTTTCGACTACGACACCTTCCTATCTTCCGCCTTGACTACCGGACACAGTGTCGATTTGATACTTAAAGTCCCTCGGCCGTCCCACTGACCCCTGTTGCATACCTGCCTCGTATCGTGTTGTCGTCCTCCATCGTCACCTCGATATAAGAACAGGAGTACTTATACGCCGCTTCAGGGATGAAAACGATCTCATTACTTCGTGCAATGGCCATATTGCCTCGACTTCCTACTACCCGGTTACGTCGATGCCCCGGCGGTCGATTGTGAAGCTAGTTTACTTCGTCTACTTGAGGTTGGCTCGCAGGCGATCACACCTTTTTCCGAATCGTACCGACGGTACGCAATCGCAGACCCCTGTTGCTGACTACCTCCCCTGCCACCTTGTCAGTGGCTAGTGGCCCACGCCAGCCCACATTGTGACCACCTGTGATCCAGAGATCAACACCATAGGCACAGCAACAGCCTCGAGATAAATGCTTATCCAGGACGGCACTTGCTGACAGTGCATTCTCGGTCACGCCCTGTTGATCGTGTCCACTGACGACGTCACCGTAGTGTGGTGTTTGCGGACCCAGAGTTCTCGCCCCTCTCCCGGCGCTACAAACTCGACCGGCGCCCCCGAGAATCACCATCTTAGGCGTTCCAGGCGCCTCAAGCTCTCCGACGCCTCACGCTCTCCGGCGCCTCGGGCCAGACTATGTGAAACGGTCGACACCCCAACCCTAGATCTGTTTGCCTCATATCTGAATGTGGCCAGCAGTCGTCTTCCATTCCACCTGTGCCGGATACGACCGCTGTGGCAGTCGAAGCCTTCCATCGTTCCTGAGAAGGATTACGCGCGTACGCTTTTCCGACTCCGGTTCTCCCTCCCACGGTTCTTCAGAGATCCAGGCCACTCGACCCCTGCCATTGACTTTGGTCTCGCCTTATTGGTCAGCCAGAAGTTGGGTTATCGACCTCCGAAACATAGCCAGAGACAACCCCTGGAACTTCCGGTGTGGTCCAACCTTCTGCTCCATCCACACGGTCTGTTGCCACACCCTCATACCCGCATGTTATCGTCTGCACGCCTGACACACATGCAGAAAGCCAAGGGCTATTCGGCTAGAGCGACCAAGGCTATTGCTTCAGCCCACCGTCCATCGACAGGGGGACTGTATGCTGATAAATGATGCTTGTTCCAGGCATTTTGTTCTGACAAACACCAGGATCCGATGACAGCGTCACCGCAGATCCTGGATCAGTTCCTTCTGTACTTGTGTAGCACCCATCGGTTGAAGGGCTTACCACCCCCACATACCTGGTCGCCATCTACTCCTTTCTGGCCATCCCGGACGATCGGAGAAAGACGAAAATTCCCGACCTACGGGCCTGGCTGCGCTCGTTCAGTCTTGAAGACCTGAAGACCAAGTTCGGACCGCCTGCGTTGGATCTGAATGTGGTCTTCAATGCCCTTCGAACCACTCCCCTCGTCTTCCTTCTTCGACCTTAAGTAGAAGACGGGTGTTTCTACTGGTTTTAACTACTGCCGCTCGAGTCCATGTACAGCACGCCCTCGACGTCTCCCATGCCCGGTTCGAATGCGGTACCCAGGGCGCCATTCATCATGGACCGTACTGGGACGTCAGCGTAAAGACTCAACTCCCAGGACAGCCTGATAGATCATTCCTTGTCCCCTCCCCCCTCGTCCAGTGTGGGTGCCGAGGATGAGGATGAGCGTCATTATGCCCAGTAAGGGCACTGAAGGTTATTCTACGATCTAAAGACTGCCGCAAGTCTAGGAAACACCTTTTTCTGCCGGTCTCCCCTTCGTCGCTGTCGTTGGTCAGCCGGAATACTTTTCCCTGTGGCTCCGGGCGGTCATCCTTAAAGCGTATGAGCCGCCGGATTGGACCCTCCCCCCAAAGGCTATTACCTGAAATAAA